AAAAAAACGAAAAACGAAAAAATTGAAAATCGTTATAGGATCGAAGTCGCTTGAAAAGGTAGTGGTGTGCCCGAATACAGAAAATATAATATTTAATAATAAGAATCATAAAAAATAATACATCCGATAATTTGGACTGGCCTTTTATTCGACTTTCCTTCGTCGTTTGCCTGTGAAATGTGGCTATTGCCATTTCAAAGAGATCACAGCTAGTCTGATTTTTTATTATCATGAATTGCAGACTGATGGAATAGCAACCAGGTCGCTGGGCCCAGCCCTTGATAGTGGTTGAAGAGGGTGGGCCAATAGGTGGCAGGACCAAACAGGGCTGGAAATTTCGCCCTTTTAGTCTTGCAATATGAAGCGGGATTTGGAAAGCCAGTTGAGGATGGAAACGGGCGAGTTGACTGCGAGTCGAGGCTCGAAGTCGATCAACTTCTTACTCGGCTTCCGTTTCCCCCTCTCATCCTCCTCACACTCCTCTATCCGACAATTTGCCCTAATCAATAAAAAACACTGTAGGTTAATTTAAAAAAAAAAAAATTTATTATTAATAACCCAACACATAATTTATTTACAAAAAAATTATAACTACATACTTAAGAATTAGACAAAAAACAACAAAATTATGATTAAAAAAAAACAAAAAAAAATATACCAACGCCGCAGCCACCCATCCATCTACGCGAATTATTCTGTCTCGACACCAGGAGGGCATCGCTGCTGGCACATACACGGGGCTGAAATCAAAAAGAAAAACAAAGAACATGAGAAACGTGCACGTTAAAATTGATAAAAATAATTAAAAATGTTGGGACAATAATACTTACACTTCTAGTAGTAGGCTCGCGTTCATGCCGGGCCTCTCCGGCATTCCGGCCAACGAACGAGTTATTAATAATTGGGGGGCAGGGGCCGTCTCAATCCAGGCCACCGCCTGGCCCCGCACCCCCACACGTATTTCTTGGTTGGCCCATTGGCCAACCACTCTGATGACCATTTCCGGCAACTTGGGGCTGAAATCAGAAAAAACAAGACACGATTAATAAAATTTTGTAAAAAAATTGGTAGTAGTTTGTGATTTATTTTTTTTTAGGGGGGGGGGGGTATAATTACACCTTGATGGTCCCTTCGATGGTCATGTTCAGTTGACCATCCACCATAGTGGTGGACCACGTGCCCGACCACCACGGCGTGATAATCCACGCCGTGGCGGCCAACACCATGGAAATTCTCGAATCATAATACAGTAAAAATCACTATAGCGAACACCGGTTACAACAAACAACCTTTTACAACGAACCAATCTCCAAGTCCGGCAAAAATACATAAGTGCAAAGGTAAAAATATATTGGCTACTACGAATTCGTTTACAACAAAAAACTGGATACAACGAAGTAAAAATATAAGAAAATTTGTTGTAACCAGTTTTCAAAAAAATAGTATCTTCATTTGTAAATGAATAATCCTGGCCTAAATGAAATACGACAAAAGTGATCAGATTCTCTTGTACAAATATTTGTATTTTTTAAATGAAAGTTCGGGTTGTTTTATGTTGTTGTGAATAAAAATGTCTTCCAAAGTTTGGCCCCAATTTTCAATAAAATAACAATTTATTATGATTTCGTGATGGTCATGTATAGTAATTCTGTTTTAGCTAAAATATTTTCGTTATGTCCTTTCATCTATTTCCACTATGTGGCAAAATAGAGAGGTAAATAAAAGAATTTCAAACTTAGCCTGTGGACTAATAAAATTGCGGATCATACAAACTCAGTTCAAATTAATGGGGAAAACACTACTAGCTTAATTCCAGCAGCAGCGGGCCTTCAATGTACCAATAACAATAAGTGAACTTATTTGCAGGCAAAGCCAAAAGGCCCATTTTGAAAACTTTTTTATCGAGTGTTATTTCAAATTGTACCCATATTCCTTTATTTGCAGATTATTTGCGAAAAAAAAAAAAAATTAAAACAAAGTTTGATAATTTCTGGCTACAACGAACAGTTCGTTGTAGCTGATTTCTGGCTACAACGAATATTGGCTACAACGAACAAATTTCATCAGTCCCTTTAAGTTCGTTGTAACCGATTTTTACTGTAATAATAATAATAATAGAAATAAAAAAACACTTTAAAAAATGAAAAATTGTTATACGTTCATACGTGAAAGGATCGAAGTCGCTCGAAAAGGTTTTTTGTTACCCTAGACCAGTAATCAAACCCGCGAGTTTTCCGCGATCTTTTTTAGGTAAAATCGCTCTGAAAAATCCAATTTTGGGTTTTTTGGGTCCTGTGAGGGCTCTAAATATTTCTCAACCAAACTACATCCAGAAATTGGGCTTGCCCTCTGTTTTCTGGGCCTAACAGCTCGAAACTTCGGAGAAAAAGTTTCATTAAAAAATTTCACTACCGCCCCCTCGTATTCAAAAAATTCACAATTTGGGTATCTTTGGTGAGAGCCCCTTCCCCCGTGGAAAAAATTCCGGTTACAGGCCTGGTCCAAATCGTCCTAAGTTTTAATTTGATTGAGACTCATTTTTAGCGGGAGATTTTTTGGATTACTGTAGGGAGGAAATACTTCTAATGTATTATTATAAGGAATTGAAGTTCAAGTGTAAATTCAACTTGAAAATTCATCATTTTTGGTTTCAAGGCCTGGTGTGAATATCCCGAAAAATTGAATGCTGCAATGTTTGAGTTGCCATAGCACTCTGCATTCTTGAGCAGTAATTTTTAAATTTATAATTGAAATCCTGGTGATATCAAACTTGTTTCGACCATTAGGTTTGGATAGTTTACTTCTGTCGGCTGTGTCACCTGAACGATGAGAGTATGACCCACCATCTCTCTAGCCCAATCTACATATATAACATATCGATGAGAGACAGAGGTACCAGAGAGTTGAAACCCAGCAAGTACCAACGCTTGGATCAGATATCAGATCCATTCCATTTGCAAATGATGTTTCATCAATATTTCTATCAACG